ATAAATACAGTAAAAACAGTCCGATATGCCTTGGCAATGAGACGAACAACTCAGATGTGCTCAGGGTGTGCTAGCCATAAGATCACGTCAGCGGTGTGGCCATTCATGAAATGAACTTTTGTCTGAATGGTGATTTAGATTCACTGTTTTGGATCGCCGCATTTAATTTGAGAATGCACTAGCGGCGGCAGCCTCCCCGGGTCCTCATGTCTGTCCGGTAAGCCTTTTATTTAAGGGTGCTGTAGGCCTATTTGTAATAAAATGAAAGTAAAATACACGGAAAAACATGAATATATTGTGTTTCTGAATAAATAAAGCAATAATGGGTCATAAAATCACGTTTTGTTTTAAAGGTCAGAAGCTATAGCTTATATAAAAATCACAAACATGACACTTGTAAATTAAATAATTTTATATACAGATTTATTCATTAATGTGTAATTTCAAATGGATTATGAAAACTTAAATACAGGGAGCTCTAAAAGTTTTTTTTTAATAATTTGTACAGGTCTTCTGCTGTTGCTTTATCTATGAATGTTAAATCTACAACTGCATCTGTCTGAAAAAGAAAAGCAGTGATTGATTTTTTTAATAGTTATTTTCAAAGCTTTCAGTGTACTCTCATTATAACAAGAAATTAATTATTATTTACTTATATTATTCTAACAAAATCCAAAATTAAAAATAATTTGTTTATAATCTCTGCACAGGAGAGACTTGGAGTTGTTTCCAAACAGAAGGAAATATATCTGTATCGGCAATGGCTATTGGCCAAAATTAGTTAAATATCAGCATATCGATTATCAGCAAAAATCCAATATCATACCTCCCTAATCAATAGTTTTATATTTCTGCAGCATTTTAAATCGTCATTCACAAGGCTTCATGGGATTCTTTCCCTTGTTAAAGCCAATAAGTACGCAGTTGTGTACCTTTGGGGGGTTTTGTCCACTTTTCAAGTACTTTTTTTCTTTCAAATAACAGTTTGTGATGTTGTGCTTCTCCTTGTAGCTGGTTGGTTTGCTCTGTGGCTTAGAACTCTTTCCTAAAGACTTTTTTTTAATGAGAGAAATGAATAGGAAAAATACTTTGGAGACCAAGGCCGCTGAAAAAGTGAGCAGTCTATAGACCTTCTGCTTAGGGGTGGGCGCTATACTGGTATGAACGTGACTACCGGTATTATGTTGTTCCATGATATGGATTTTGCTATACCGTGGATACTAGGGGTCGACCGATTATCGGCACCGATATTAAGCATTTTTATGATTATCGGTATCGATTCGCAGATAAAATAACTTAATTTTTAAACGTGCTTTTTGGCTCTGATGCAGCCTGTCAGAATACACCACTCTGTGGCCTAAAGCAATCTCCGCCCACCGCCCATCTGATTTGTTGGGAGTCACGAGTCCGACCAATCAATGCGGAATTCACTGTCACTCCGAAATCGCTTGCTAACTGCAGCTGCTTCAGTGATCACGCACCAGTTGTCTCTCGAAGGTAAGGCAGCAGCAGACATGGCTTAATTTGCAATAAATCACAATCCTCTAACGTTACACTGAAGTTGCAAAACACCTCAATATTATCTATGATTTCCGCGATGCAGAAAATGTGGACGGAATCGCGGAATCCAGTCATATAAATGGAATTTACTGTATGACGCGGAATGTCACGGAGTTTGGATGAATTAATCAAAAGTAGGTCAGTACACTTAAATAGAGTGGCGATATGGACTAGTATCTGTAAATATTAAGCCTCAAAAATACTATTTAAATATTAATCCTGCATGTTCTGGGTGTCTCTGTGTATGTAAATGGCACAGACGTGTGGTTTTGTTTTCTACACATACAAAGTGTGCGACGCTCGCGGTGATTTCAGCTTCTGTCGTCTCACTACATGAGGACATAAATACATGAACAACATCTCCAGAACTGCTCTGACTCCCTCTGAGAGTCACTTCATGAGCATTTGACAGTTTAATTTGAGTAAAACTGCAGTGTTTCCCACAGACACTCGTTTGTGGCGGCATATATATGCAAATTAATTCTCTGGCAGCAGGAGGCGCTGTTGGAGTGGTAGAGATCGATGTTTCCCCGGTAACACTACACAAAGCAGCGCTCCACTCACAAACGCTGCTTGATCAGATATTACATGCAAGAAGAAATGAAAATGACATCCAAAATTTTCTGAAGACAGTCGGTTTCCTTCAGAAATACAGTGATATAAAAACACCCGCACTGGGTTTCAATTTTGAAACGTGCAGTGCTCATGTTTATTCAACGAAGTCAAAGCCTTTTGGAAAATCTATTTTTGGCGGTCAGTTTTGATATTGTGGCGGGCGCCACAAATAGTTTCTCATGACAGGGTTAGCTTAAAGAAATTATCAGAAATATATTACTGTGGTGATATACATAATACTACGACAATTAATCGCAATAACCGTGACTATTTTTTAGACAATTAATCGCCAGCCAAATTTCATAATCGTGACAGCCCTAACTGTCAGAATATATTACTAGAAATCAAAATCGTGAATCGAATTGAATCGTGAGTTGAGTGAATCGTTACATCCCTACTATAGGCCTATGTTAAAACATTTAAATAGATAATTTAAAGTAACAATATTACAGTTTTTACTGTATTTTTAATAAATAAATCTAGCCTTGATGAGCATGAGAGACTTTCCAAAAAAAAAAGAGGGGGTGGAAATATATGGTGGAGAAAATATTTTTCTCTACAAAAGGGGGGCCCAGCAGAAAAAGTTTGGGAACCACTGCTTACTCAAATACACAATATTTAATTTAATTTAATTCATACAGGCCTACCTCATGTTGCACGTTTGCACTTTTTGAGAAAAACAATGGCACAATAAAAAAAAGACTTTTCAGGTCTTTGTCCAATCCCTCACTTTTTCAAGTTATATAAGGTTATAATATTTAGCCTGTAATTTTTTTCTCATATCGCAATATAATATCAATTTCGCCTAGACGGTGTAAAATATCGTTATATGAATTTTAGCTCATATCGCCCTCCCCTACTTCTGCTGTCTGTTATGTCCTTTAGATCAATCAAAGACAATAGTGAGCAAACCACTCTTTGTTTTGTACTGTATGCTTAGCCAAATACTTACATTTCCCCAAGCTGTTTAGCTGTAGTACAGTATTCATAGGCTTATTCGTGAAGTTATGTTCACCTCATGTTGAATTTTAGCTCATATCGCCCACCCCTACTTCTGCTGTCTGTTATGTCCTTTAGATCAATCAAAGACAATAGTGAGCAAACCACTCTTTGTTTTGTACTGTATGCTTGAGTAATTACATGAACAATGGTGTTTACTTAATATGACCATTGGTTGTTTTCATTTAATATTTAACTCTTTAGATACAGGTGTGTTCTTAGTAGCTTATTAGTTTGTGCTGCAATATCGCAATTACAATGAAAAGGACATGTTTTCCATCTTCAAAGCATTTTTACATGAACGATTGAATGAGATGTTGTGCTGCGTAACCTCACAACTATTCATTAGCAAAGGAAACGGCTCTTTCTTAACATAATAGCCAAGAAAGTGATTGCTTCTGGGAATAGAGACTTTAATGAATAACTAAGACATGCAAATACTAACTGAATTGCAGTTGACATATGTTACTGTAGTCTTAAGCGTTTATGTTGTGATGTGTTTATTTGGCCATCTGGATTTCTCCATAAGAGTCTCATCATATACAGAGCATGTGTTCCACCTGTATTCTGGCAATATATGATCCATCATCTTTTACATTAGATCCACCAAAAGCTGCTTTATCTTCTTCTCAGTGTTTCTGAAATTGGAAGTTAAAATGTTTCGAGATTTCATCGAAATGCCCTAATAACTGTTCTCTTTTGGATATTCAGTTGTTTTATTCATCCTTTGTGTTTGGTCCAAGTTAGCCAGATGTTTCACACAGCTCGAGCTGCTGTAAGTGTGTGAGATGCTGGTGTTTAGGAGCTTATGTGGGCTTTCAGACAGGTCACTCCAGGTTAAGGAAGTAGCTGTGAGTCAGTGATGGCCTTCCTGACTGCTCATCTCATTAGCTGCCGCTTCCCAAATTAATGTTTAATTGAAGGTGCTTTAGTGGAGCGGCAGACTCATTCTTCACAGTGAAAGTCACAGACTGTTACGCAATACGCAGAGCAGATGAGCACCCTCTCAACCTGCCTTGTCAGAATTAAACTCAGTAAATTTAGCCATGGAGCAGCAAAGGGAAGCTTCACACAGCTGTGCCTCAGATGTATTTGTCGCTCTGCTTTGGTCACCGCAGCGGATATTTACAAGCTTTTCTGAGAAGAGATACGGCATCACTTGCTCTCCAATTAATTTGATATACTTGATTAGCTGGCTTGTTCTGCTGTTGTGCTGAATTATTACAGTCTGTGTTTCATTATCTCTATAATGTGGATCATTAGCATACGAGGAAAAAAATGCTGTTAACACACAACTGAAAGAGCAGAGTTACGTGGCACAGAAGCTGTTAGTTATGCACAATACAGACCGACTTGGTCCTGTGTCAAATATCCCTCTTTTTAAAATACATTACAGCTATGTTTGCTGTACTTAGTCAGTGTCAAAATATATTTAAATAAGTTGTGAATTCCAAATCAGTTACTTACACTGCATTAAAAGTAGTGTTAATTTTGTCAGCTAGCCCTATTTGCTTTTTGGTTTAGTCTTACTCTTTTTCTTTACTCAAATGTCATTTTTAGGTTTTATCATATTTAGTCAACCTATGCTGTTTTGGTTTAGTGAAGTTTTAGTTTTAAAAAAAGTCTGAATTAATTTTAGTTTTAGTCAGTGAAGATTTTTGTGGTTAAACTTTTCCTCATGATCGTCCCGGATCGGTGATCAGTCGGTCAGTCTCAGTTCTTTCCGATTTCGAGCCGATCCGTTTTGTTACCAGCGGCACAGGCAATAACGTCAGCCGCGCATTCTCGCTCTCTTCTCTCCGACGCCCCCTTCTCTCTCACACACGTCTCATTCGCTCCGGTTAAATAGCGCTTGTATTGCGCATTATTTTAGTCATTCCCGCAGGTTTCGCACTTACACCAAACGCGCGCGCACCACCACTTTGACAAAAAATTGTCAAAATGCCAGTTTCGGCGAGTATCCAGTTAAACAGTCATGTTTTGGAATGTTAAATAGTTGAGAAAGAGAACGCATGTTGTGTAACAGTATATTGGGTCTGTGGATAAACTCTTAAAGGGACCGCAGTCCAATATCGGGAAAAAGGGACCAAAAAAAGCCCGGGAAAAAGGGACCAAAAAAAGCCCGGGAAAAAGGGACCAAAAAAAGCCCGGGAAAAAGGGACCAAAAAAAGCCCGGGAAAAAGGGACCAAAAAAAGCCCGGGAAAAAGGGACCAAAAAAAGCCCGGGAAAAAGGGACCAAAAAAAGCCCGGGAAAAAGGGACCAAAAAAAGCCCGGGAAAAAGGGACCAAAAAAAGCCCGGGAAAAAGGGACCAAAAAAAGCCCGGGAAAAAGGGACCAAAAAAAGCCCGGGAAAAAGGGACCAAAAAAAGCCCGGGAAAAAGGGACCAAAAAAAGCCCGGGAAAAAGGGACCAAAAAAAGCCCGGGAAAAAGGGACCAAAAAAAGCCCGGGAAAAAGGGACCAAAAAAAGCCCGGGAAAAAGGGACCAAAAAAAGCCCGGGAAAAAGGGACCAAAAAAAGCCCGGGAAAAAGGGACCAAAAAAAGCCCGGGAAAAAGGGACCAAAAAAAGCCCGGGAAAAAGGGACCAATAAAAGCCCAGATAACCGGGAAAAAGGGACCAAAAAAAGCCCGGGAAAAAGGGACCAAAAAAAGCCCGGGAAAAAGGGACCAATAAAAGCCCAGATAACCGGGAAAAGGGACCAATAAAAGCCCAGATAACCGGGAAAAAGGGACCAAAAAAAGCCCGGGAAAAAGGGACCAAAAAAAGCCCGGGAAAAAGGGACCAATAAAAGCCCAGATAACCGGGAAAAGGGACCAATAAAAGCCCAGATAACCGGGAAAAGCCGCCGCTATAGCAGGCTTTGAAGAGTTGATCAGACAGTGAGGGAGCTCAGTGTAATTTATGGACTCAAAGTTTTGGATGTGTTATTTTACATTTGATTACTTTAATTTCTGTAGTATTTCTTACCTGAATAAAAACTTACTTAACCTGAAAAACTTAGTTTCATAGCTCTCTTTATTCTATTGCATTTATTTGTGCTGTTGTTTACAATTTTTTTTATTTGTTCTTATTTTATTACTGACTTTTTACCTGTGTTTTTTTATGAAAATAAAACTTTGCGTTGAAGAAAAGTAGATTTTTGTTTGTATATGCTGTCAATTATAGTTCTTAGAAAGAAAATCGGAATCGGCAAAAATCGGTATCGGCAGATCACACTAACGAAAAATCGGGAATCGGAATCGGCCAAGAAAGTTGCAATCGGTGCATCTCTAGTTAAACAGTTATTCACAATTATTTTGTTCAAAATTGTAATTTTTGTTGCTGATCCTGATTGATGTCATTTGAGAAATTTATTTTTACATTTCTTCTGAATTATTGCACTTTCACGTAAAAGCACAAATCAAGAGAATGTCAACGCATGGTTTATTTTACTCATTTACTCATTTAGTTTCCTGATTCATTAGGCTATATTACCATACATATCTACATTATGTAAAACTCAAAAGTTAAAACCGTAAAATTCCTCAAATTTCCTGAGTCCTGATTTCCAATAATTCCAGATTATGCTAATGTTTTAAAAAGTTTGTCAACAAACATCTGTCACTGTTTTTAATGATGAAATTACACTATTTATAAGGAGCTTATTTAAAATATCACCTTACCTCAAAATAATGTGCAGAATGCACATTTCAAAACATTGTTTGAGTAACATCTCCTAATTCACACACATTGTTCAGGAAGTAAAAAGCAACACAGAAACAGATCAAAATGTGTTATCCAACTGACCTGAATCTCCTTGACCACAGATAAAGTTGCATGACATTGTATTCTGGTTGTATGGACTATACACACAAAAAATCTCACAAGGCCTGTTTTTTGTTTTTTTGGAAATGTGAGTAAAGTCCTGTGTGTGAAAGTGAAGTTCTTCTTCAAACAGATGTTCATAATATCAATGCAAACGTGCTGTTTCTGAACATTTCAACGTTCTCCACACTGCTGAAAGAGGTGTTTAGAGGAGTATTTAAAGATGGCATGAAATGAGAATTCACTTTATTGTTACGTTTTTGTAAATACTTAAAATTACAGATCTTATTGTGAATGAATTATCCACGTGTGTTTTACTATGGGGTCCCAATACAGGAGAAAAATCCATCGCTACTTCTGTTTCATTGCCACTTTAAATATGTGCTGTACACTATTCTATCGATAACACAACAAACAACAGAAATGGCTGGTGATTATAAAGTCATCATGGACCAATGGCAGATTGAAGGAGTTTAACAGCTGCCATGAAGTTTTCTGGGAAGTTCACGTTGGAAAGTTGTCAGGAAAGTTTTCTTCGTTTGGACAGATTTTGTTTGAAATTGTAACACTTGTTCGTTCTTCGGTTTTCTCTTCAATTATATTTTGTGGCCTTTATAGCAAAAGCGCATGCTTTGGTATAAATGTGAATGTTTTGTGATAAACTGTTAAAGTTATATTTTGTAATAGTAGTTAACTGCAATACTTGTAGTTAATGGTATTGTTTTTGTCTACATCATGACAAAATTTACAATGTTGAGATGGATGACAGTAAGGCAGCTTACTAGAGTTTAGAGTTTTTTCACTCAAATATTTTTTCTATCTATTCTTTAAAAGTGTTCTTCTATCTAACAGATCTAGGAATCAGTTAGCATGGATTCATAATCACAGCACAGTGGCAACAGTTTTGAAAAAGCAGCACAAGATGTTCATGTTGGCACACAGAATGCGTTCCAGCGTCTTACTCTTGGAAAGTGCAGAGGGGAAATGGGATGGAAACACACAAAGTCTCAGTCAAAAGATTCAGACTGTAATTGAAGGCATGTGTTGTCGATGGGGTCGGATGACGTGGCCGTGTAACACACAGGAATGAGATTTCCCAGCCTCCTCTGGGCAAGAGTCAATGGAAGCCGCTCCGCACAGACACCATCTGTCAGAGGCTCAAGGTTCAGCATTGTAGAGAATATTTCCAGTGTGCTGCTGCAGAAGTATTTGCATAAAGCACTAGGTGGACTGAGAGTTTGTGTCTATGCAAAGAGCCGTCACATGTTCCACAAACCAAAGCCATTACATGTTGTGAAGTGTGAGGAAATTCAACCGCTCCTGGAATCTGAGACTGGATTACTTAACTGCTAGTTTATTTTATTTTTTAACTTGAGAATAAAGTTGAGGATATTTAGTAGTCCCAAAAACATTTCTTAAGAATGTTCTCTTTTTTTTCTTAAAGGTGCAGTCGCATTAGCAGGATTTCAGTGAAATTTTGTGTAGAAAACATTTTTCTATTGTCATTAGTGCAGTGATGTATGAAGCACAGTTCACAGGGAAGTCATTCTCAAACCAAGCGTCTTCCTGTTGGTCAGCACTGCGACCGGCGTGAACATGAGTGGAATCTGCGTGGGAAACTTTTTTGCCCTCACGCGATACTCTCACTTGTGTTGATTTCTATTGAAATGACTGGATTTTTAGGATTGTGAAGACAAAACTTAGTGAAAAATTTAATTCCTGAAATTAAAAATGTCATCATAAATAAACACTTAGGATAACCACCAACTTGCCTTGAATCCCTAAAGGTCAGATGTTTAATGAATTTATTGGATGATTACAAAAATTTAACATTATAACATAACACTATTTATACTAATGAAAATGTAAACAATGAAATGTTATAATTATGCTTGACGTGACTTTTTGGTGAATTTGAAAAAACTACAAAAATGAATTAAATATTTTTGGCATTTTTTTGACATGTATAGCTTCCATACACAATGTGTTCAGTCTAGAGAGAGTGCAAATGAATGCAACAGACCACGTCATCTAGAGACAGGGTCTTTAAAAATGACCATTTAACATGCACTTCAGACTTCACATTAAATAATTGCAAGTCAGAGTGCTGAACTCCAGTCAAGCCAGAAAGTAGTGTTTAGTGGTCGACCGATATATCGCCAAGGCCGATATATCGGCCGATATTTGGCATTTTTCAAATATCGGCATTGGCCGATACGTTTTTTCTGTGTGGCTGATGCGTTCATGGCGAGACTTTTATTTTGACGGCGCTGAGAACGGCAACACCTGAACACTAGGGCTGTCAAAATGGCTGAAAAACTACATTCGAATTTTGTGCTTAAATATTATCAAAATTCGAATTATATTCGAATTTAAAATGCATAATTTCAGTTAGGGTAAAGAAAAGCTTTTGGCTTCTCTCCTGAGGCCACAAAGAGGGCACATCGAGCATAAGATATCC